CCTGTGTTTCAAATGGAGCTCATTGACCTGCAATGCAACTCTGACCTCAAAGCCAAGTTCAGGGAGATGAGTGGAAAAGCAGACAAGCATGGGCAATTTTTGAGAGAATTGCCCCCCAACTTCCCTGAGCTGAACTTCAATAAGTCCAAGTACAGGTCTTAGACTTACTGATGATCATCTTCAAGCCATACTGAGGGTCTCAACTGCTTCCTCTCTCAAGCCAAATGTGGTTCAGATTTGTGAAAAGAAGCGCTGTCAAGTATCTGGCAGCAAGGAGTAGGCAAGAGGAGCCATGTTCAGAAGAACCGTTCATGATTTTCACTCAATGTTCCTTTCATGTTCAAAACACTCCATGTTCAGAAGAAATCATTAAAACTGTTAACTGTTAACATTTGAGGACAGGTAAATTGAGTTTGAGACCCCTGGTTTACAGTGTGACGAGGCTGGAGGCAGATGTGTGTTTGTTTGGACGGTGGAAACACGGGCACCTGAAAAAGAAGCTGCTTCTTCACTAATGGCCCTTTTTACGTCACTACTTCCTAAACTTAAACATACAAACCTTTATTTTATTATTTATTCATCTATTTATTTTCTTTTGCTACTTAAATTCATTTTATCGCTCTTCGTGGCGCATTTTTCCTGCAAATAATACTGTATTCAGGTGAGTGTGATCTGTACAGTTGGAGCTTTCTGTTCATGTGGTGAAACTACGCCCCCTGCTGGGTACATAAGAAATAATCCCAAAGGTTTGTCAAGCGACGTTGCAGTAAATAAATAAATAAATAACAAACAAATAATGTTTTCTTTTTTTTATTTCATTTGTTACGTCATTTATGTGCAGTGGAATTCTATTTTATAGCAGTTTTAATTCACAGAGAAAATAAAATAATGACTTTTGTTTTGACTTAACAGGAAAATCCCAAGCATCAAAATATAATACTTATTGATTATACTCTTACGGATAATTCCACTCTGATCCTGTACTAACTGAGAACACGTTTCTTCCTCCGTCTTTGTTAATCGTCCACTCATTTCACCAACAAAATGCTCATCAGGTGTATTAGTAGATGATCACACTGTCTGTCCTTGACACCTGACTGCTCATGTTTGCCATTGCCACTGTGGCTATTCAGAACTGAGGTCCATTCAATGCTCAGGGATAAAGATGATGATTTGATGTCAGTTAGCATCAGTATCAGCGTGTTTCCTTCTACTCTCAAAGGAATTCTCTGTTATAGTTCCTTCATTTGTTTGGATTCAGTGACGAGAGCGAGAACATAATCACCAGCGTGAACACAAGGAGCGGGGTTTTCTCCTGATTACCACCATAAACAAACTGTAACTGTGTTCAAGTCAGACTGGGTCGGATTAAGGAACACGTGTTTCCCTCCGCTCGGAATGTCGCTTCAATCAAGTCTGGGAACAACGTAATAGATTGAATTAAACATTACGCCAAATCTGTTTTGCTTTCCCTCCAGTGTGATAATGTAAACATCAGGAAACCTAACGTGTTGGACTGTACAGCTGAGGTGAATGTGAATCGTCTCATTTATTCCTCCAGCAGGAGATTATCCTCTGTTTCTGTTCTGTCCACAGAAATTTACAATAGAACATTTTTACGGTTGAAAACATATAAAAAAAAAATTTTCTCACAGCATTTTACAAAGATGGGAAGATTTAGAACCAAAGAATCAAGGGGTGTGTAATTGAATCAATACATTAGCATTAACATGAGTGACTAGTGATATGGAAAATAACCAATATCAGAAAGAAGACACAAACACTGAAATGTATGCTGTGGAAAAAAATATTAAATTATACACTAGGGGGCAGCAGCTATATTTGTCAGAGAGTCAGATTTTTTTTTCTGGACAGACACTGGACACACACATTGAATTATATAATAATAACATTTTTTTGTTTTACTTTATCATTTGATCTTTATCATGGAGTCCAGTCAGGAGCTGGACTGGATGGTTCAGCCGGCTGGATTTGGCCCGCGGGCCACCTGTTGATTATCACTGCCGTGAGCCATTATTTCCAAATGCTGCTCGTTCTTTTTCAGTTCAGAATTGATCAGTGAGGCCCGCGGGCCACCTGTTGATTATCACATATGCAAACATTTTGCTGAAGACAAATCCAATGGGACAACAATCTTTCTCTTTTTTTGTTTTTGTTTTTATATATATATTTTGATGATACGATGACCTGCGCTCTAATGTTCTCACCCAGTCCTGGTTAATAAAATCACTCTGTCCCCGTGTGTCTCAAACAAAAGCAAAGAGCCAGATTGTTATTGCATCCGACGCCAGAATATCCTTTTGAAACATAATTGAACGGCGATAATTATTATCAAGCCTACGCTGGTGACACTGAGAGTACTCTCCACGGCTGTTAAATAATCCTGCAGAGGAGCAGACGAGGTGCTGTTCCTATGGACATTTACATTTAAATTAACCGGTGAACAAAGCGCGCGAGAGCCAACGTCTCACGGAGACATTCTGTCCACCACGTCCAAGGAAGACTTTAACTACACTTACTAAAACCCCCTGTCATAGTTTTAAAAAGTAAAATCCCAAACCTGTTACATCTATCACTAGCATTCTACGCCCTCTCCACGCTGCACTCATCCAGTCATGACAGGGAACGAGTGACACACAAAAGCCTGAAAACTCTCTCCCCATCTCCTCTCTTGATAGGATGAATGTGACGCCGGGCCGTTTTCTCCATCTCACGTCAAAAAATGTGGCAAATTTAGACCAAACACCTTTATTCATCCCTCCTTATTCATATTTATGAGGCGTGAGTGACAAACTCATTGTGGGCTAATTACAGTGTGGTGAACCTCCATTGTCTTTAGATTGGTAGAGACTGTGACGTGCTGTGCTTTGGCTTGCTGCACTAATGCAAACCTCTCCCATGTAGATATTATTAGTCACTGTTTGCTTAGCAACCACAACACATGTCTGACATTTTTGTACAATGAACAGTGTTTATTTAATTTTGGCAGAGAGAATGTGGAGAGGTGACGGTGGTGGACACTGATTATTACTATTATTATTATTATTGTTATTATTACTATTGTTATTGTTATTGTTATTATTATTATTGCAAATTTTAACACATGTGACACTAAAAATGAAATTTGGGTTGAACTTCCATTTAAGGTTCCACATACAGTACCTTCCAATGGAAATAAGAAAAATAAGAAAAAAATAACAGCTACATGTATTGTAGCAGTAAAATA